GAATACGCCTCTGGTTTGAAGTATTTGAATACATAGAATACAATTTATTTAGATAGTACATAACCATAATTTTACCTGGAAAATCAGAGAATGTGGATACGTGATATAACAATGGACACATTTGGAAACAATAAAATCAACGATATATGTAATAATGCATGTATTTGTTATTCGGTGGCTTACTATTGTCTATTGTCTGTTATTTTGTTATTTACAAAAATTGCAAAAATAGGAAAATACAATTTTTTGATTTTTATAGATTTAATATAATACATTATACCATATACCAATATTTTAATACTACAGTTGCAGAAAAAGTTTTTGAGACTAACAATTATGAGTCAACTTATTCACGGTGTACCTACATGGTGTCTCCTGGATAACGCTAATAAATGTTCAAAAAAAAAAAAAAAAAAATAGAAAAAAATGTTTGAAAACTTTTAGCCAAACATATAATATTTTTTTTTAATATGATTTATCCACCTAAACGTAATATTCATTTTTTGTGTCTAAACTAAGTGTTGTACGAAACTTTTATACTTTGTAGCTACTCAATGGTTCGGCTAACGTGGAATTTGTTCCGGGGTAAAATAAAGCGATTACGAATTGGTTTTTGATAATTATACAACTTACAACTTTTCAAATTGGTTCTCAATGTTCCCATATACACATATCAGTATTCTTATCATTTTTTAATAGGTTATACAATATCTAAGAATGTGTATAAATATAATATAATACGTATTTATATATTTTTGTTTAAACTTATTTCAAAATTCAATTTTATATTTGTTGAAAAGTACGAATATAAATTACATTTTTACACTCAAATACTTAAGTTATAACAGCTTAAACATATTTATATTTGGCACTTGTATAACAGTAAAATTAACCATCATAAACATTAATATAGGAATGAACTGTTGACTAGGTACCAACAAAAATTTATTATTGTAAAATTAGTACCTATGATAATAATATAGTTATAATATTTATTATTTAGTATATTATAGGCAGGTATTAGCATTGGGTATATTAACAGAAATTCAACGGTATTAGGTAGGCACTGAAATTGTAGCAATAAATCGCCTGTTATTTCTAAAACTGTTTTAACTGATTAACGGCTGAACAAATTAACTGATATCTATAAGATTTTTAAAAATTGTAAAATTACTTAATTTAAAAATTCTAGAAAAGAAAAAATGTACTTATTTTTTATACGTAGCTGGATATATAATTAATAATTATAGGTAAAAACTATATGGAAATTTAAAATCACTGCTATCTTAGAAAGATAATTATAATCCTAATCAAAATAATAATGATCATAAATCGACTTAAACGGTATTGAGAATAGAAATTTTGAAACTAGTCCAATGTAATTATACAAATGCACGTGCCACCGTTAGCTGTATAATATTAGGTATCATACCTAACATTATCGTACCTATCATTTAACACATAACTGCTAAGTACCTACAGCGGACAAAGAAAAGTTTGTTAAATTTTATGACATTTAACGACATAATAGTTGAGTTGTACGTTAATGTACCTGATATTTATTGTTAGACATTGATACATATAACCTAATTCAAGGACTAATCGAGTACTAATTAAAGGCATTTAATATATGATGTAGGTAAGTACTTATGGATGTCAAACAGACTTATATATACCTACAACTACGGGTGTTAGGGTGCCATTCTGATAATTCAATTTAATATTGTATAGACAAGACTGTGAGTTGATCAATACCCGGACTATAATATTATATTATCATTCGGTATTATTAATACGACGGATAATCACGTGAACAATTTTACACGGACAATAAATTGACGGCAAGGACAACAAAAATGACTTTTGTAAGTACAGTGAGCATCATATATTATTTTGTAATTTTGTAATTTAATGTCAGCGGATATAAATATAACTATTATTTTTATTATTATTATTATTATTATTATTAAGCCCAGCAAATGCAAACCTTTGCCTATATCCTATATTATAGGTATAGTATCTACCTATAATTGTATTAATGAAAAAACTTTTCATTCAATATCAATGCCCGTTTGCTTTTGAAATTAAAAATAAGTATTGACTGTAATGTTATTGCCATTTGAGAATCAAAAATTAAAGTGTCAATAATGGTTCTGTTGTGAAACAAAAAACAAAACTTTAATTATTGTTGATATAAACCATTTAAGTATCTAAGTATAAAAGTATACAGTAAAATCTGTGTAAAGTGTAAGATATGAAAAAAGTTGGAACCGGATATCGTTTCCATTTAATAAAGGTAAAAGTCAAGTTTCCACGTTATTTAGGTTAGGTGATACAAATTCATTGAAACATAAAAGTAAAAATTAATACTTAGGTAATTGAAAAATGGCAAAAAAAATAAATGTTAATGAAACCAAACATTGATGTAATTATAGTTATACTGAATTATTTTCAAATATTCAAAAATAACTTCCTGTAAACTATATGTTTTTAACAAATCTTCAATTGAATTTTTTACTTTAGTACAACTGTATATTATGCGCAGTAATGGTATGTAAAAACCTAAAAATCCGGACCCTTATCATTACGTTAAAAGACCATTAAATATAAAATATGTATACATAGAGATTCGACACGACGAGTTTTTACTGTATAATAACATAATAGTATTATTACCTATATTATTAAATGTCTCTTAAGATCTAATCGTCTCGTATATTCAAACTTTACAGTTGCAAAAATCCGTCACGTTCACCGTGTGCGCTTTGCTGGCGGCGTTGGCGTTTGCAGGCAATACACATGCTCGTCCCGAGGTTCCTGCAACACCGGCCGAGTCGGATACGGTATCAACATTGTCGGCGGTTAATGTGCAGCAAATCCAAGCGACACTCAGMGAAGCTCTTCCGTTGTACAGGATGGCCACGAAATCGGCGCATAAGGAACACGGCCACGGCGGGAAACTGTCGGTTGTTCATCTGATACTGATTATTGGAAAAGTTCTTGCGCCACTTGTAGGTGCCATCATCGAACCGCTGCTCGTCAACGTGGCCAAAGGCATCACATGGGCGATCACGTATTCGTTGGCCACGGGTAACTATAATAAATATATAATATAATACTACCCTTATTATACCTACAAACCAGACCATGTTTTAGTCAATATTCCCTGCAGCGTGTCCACTCCTCCTTCCTTACAAATAAGTTTCACTAGTAGAAAACCCCCTTCCAATTAGTTAGTGACCTCTCCAGTTAGTTCCTTTTCCTTTTACAATCGAAGCAACGGAATAATGTTGGATATTTATTTAGAATATAATATAAGAAAAAAAATCTAAAACATAATAATTATATAAATATATGTATTATAGTTATTATTTACTACTATTTATTCTCATGGACACAAAGTTAACAAAATCTTATTCCACTTGATGTCCATTGGACTTCACTATGTTTCAATTTGGACACAAACATTCTTTAAAAAATGGTCTGGTACAGGTATAATTATATTGCTGTGGGTTTGAGGGAGTGTCAGTGGTTTGAGATAATTACTGGTGGAAAGATAAAAAAATTCACAATGCACTACAGTACAATATGCAGAGGTTACCTGCAAGTTGTGATGGCACACTATTTATATTTTTGATACGAATATATTAAAATTAACTGTTGTTAGTAACAATTATTAATTTGTGTTCAAAATGAAATGTCATATCGTAAAAAGTTTGGCAAAATGCCTGAATTCTATGTGGCCTTTTAATTGATTCTTACCTCACCTCTGTAAATTATAATACATACTTACTTAAAAACATATACCAGCTCAATTATTGCTAAGCGTCTGTTTTTTGAGACAGTTCCTCTTGTAAATGTTTCGATAAGTGTATTTAGGTAATCTGAAATCACATACAGATATTATAGCCAATGTTGGTAATGCATGCAGTATTCGAGGACTGGTGGAGATGATTTTAGGGTTTTGGAAATTTTATACTACCGTAATTTTACAATAATACTGGTTCCGTGTTCTGAGCAGGATTCGACAAGCCTCCCAGTTACGAGCACTTTGTACCAGCACTTGAACACCATGGCGGCGACGACGATGACGAGGACGGCGGCGTGGAATACGAATCGCACAAGCCGATCAGTTACTCGCTGAACGATCTCCCGGGACTGGCACTACAGGTGACCAGCGCCGTATTGGCCGATTCTGGTGCGGGCCAACCAGCACAGCAAGCCGAGGCCATGAAAAAGGCCGAGAGAAAGCTCGTGGGCCTGCTGCTCCAGGACAATAAACGTGCACCGGCAGTACAGTGATCGATGAACAGCTCATGATGGATCAATCGTCACATTTCGTCATTATGAATTTATTAATTTATTTATAATTTATTGTGTAATCCGTGACACAAAAATGTGGTAAAGGTCCGTCATCCGACATGGACATGGACATGCCAACGGAGCCTTCCAGCTATTTTATTTTACATAAATTGTTTTATTACTTTAAAAAAAATAAATAAATGGTATGTGCTGTACTGCTGTATCATCAAAGATTTTTGGCTCGCATCACCGGCTTATATATTTTTGCTGGTGTTCTTATTGTCATCCGATCGGAAACATCGCACCGCTGATCACAGTATTATATAGATAAGCCTACGTAATGCGCATAACATATTTACTTATTGTATAGGGCGTGCACTACGCTCTAATTAGCGAAATGAAATATTTATTATTTACATGTGCAAAACTTGCACAACGAAAACGCTCACTCGTTCGTGTTGGTATCACGGCAAAAAATATATTATACCGTTTTCGCTGACGTGGTACAAACGGTAATGTAGGTACCTTAGTATACCTATTACAATATTACAAAAATATATAACGTTGTATAGCCTTGAATAACTTTCAATGAACCCGTAAAAAACTAATAAGTATCAATGAGTGTGACCTGTCTCGTCGATCATAGTTTGTCGTCGTCGACACACATATTATTATGTTATAAGTAGGTACCAAAGTCAAAGTAGTCGCAGGCGAAATGTTTTGAAATATACATTTTAAATGAAACTACTATTTCAGACAAGTTTTAAATATTCCCGATATCAAAAACGAAACGAATATAACATAATTATTATACGTTTGTTGGATGTATGGTATCACCCCATCTATATGACCTACATTATTTATGACCTATATTCAGATGTGATCGTTAACTTTTTTAACTTCTTAACTTTACTAGATTAATTGAATAATGGAATAATTTAGCTTTTCTCAGTTGATTTTAAAATAATCCATCAAGTTAAAAACATTATGAACATTTTTGTTTGTTTCATGGTTTTTTTCCATATTAGCATTTAAATAAGAGGACTATATGATGTCCTCTTAACTTAATTAGAGTTAATTATTTTCATTGATTTGCCCACTTTTGACTATATTGGACTATATCCATATAACCTATACCTATATTAATATTATGACTAAATTATAGATACAGTACAGCTGCTTTTTACAAGCAATTATATTTTAGAAATTAGATCGATGATGAGGTTTTGCGACCAACCCATATTTTACTATTCCCCTACAAACTCATCTAATTTAAATCAGACGTTAACTTTTTTGAAGTCCACACCTTCTTATTAGAATTTAAAGTATATTTTGCTGTAGATATATATTTTTAATACCTACTGAACAATAATAGACAATTCTTCATTATAATATATTCATTTATTACCTACCTGCAATCGGTGATTTTGAAAATTGCTCCTCGAGAACATATTATAATCGTCGCTCAGGAACTTTGGATTCCGATAACTGTTCCCCATTTTATTTCTTTAAAGTTTTGCTCAAAAGTGATACGTCGATCGCTGGCGGTTCGACTACAGATGTGTAGGTGAAACTATTATAGCAGGTAGGTAGACTTTGCAAAGACAACGCTCGTTGTTTTTAGTTTTCAGATTTCCCAAGTCCCGATGGTTTACGTAAAACTCGTGGAAATAAAAGGGAAAAACCCGTTTTGTTCGTCGAGAAGTTCACCGCCATTTTCGGGTAACCGAGGCGGTTCTGTTTGGTTTTTTCTTTTTAATTTAAATTTAATGTTGTATAGATCAAGGGCACGCAGCCCAGCGACCTTCCAAACTCCTATGATACCTGGTTAGGTAACCTGTGGTACCTACATTATGTTTTTTTTTAGTTTTAGTTTTAAATAGTATATTATATTATTAGGAGCAGTAGCCTGAAATTGTGTTCACTGTTAATGCTAATTAGTAATTATCATGCTAATTTGTTTGATCTTTGAACAATAAATAAAATGTATAAAAATAGTTCCGAAAAACAAATTTGAATATAATAATTTTTAGTCTTCGCACTGATAAAAACCTGAGATAGGAAATGCAATACAATTAATATAAAATCATTAACATAATAAGTATCTACCTGCTATTGCTTAAATCGTAATTTTAAATTGATGAAATAATTGTTCTAAATAGCAGCTGTTATAGCTAATTGTTCTTGTACATGTATATATTTATATATTAAATATTTTAACGTAAGATTTTTTTTTCAAATTTTTAACTCATACTGATTATCACAACGCTTTGATCATATAGGTTGCAACAAATTCAAACTCTTCGCAGTACATTAAATATCAATGAAGTTGTAATGTATTATAGACAAAGATTAATAAGTACAAACTGCTGACTGAGTAGTAATAAGTTAAATTATCGATATAGTTTGTACAGACCATAACATATTTTTTTTTTACAAAAATACAGTGAGGTACAGTATACTATTCAGTGATTTTTTCAAGGTTACTAGTTCACTATGTCTCGATCTAAAATCTCAACAATAATATTTATTATATGATTAATATTTATCAGTTGTTTACAAATTTATTCTGCTTGTATAGTGATTAACTGAAAATTTACTTCATCACAATAAAATAAATTGAATTCACTAGCAATTAACCATTGTTACAAGGTTAGTAAATGCTCGCAAGTAACATTAAGACATTTATTTTAGTTTTACTAATAAGAGTAGACCTAATAAAATTATAGCTGATGTAATAATTATATTTTAAATTATTTTAACTCAATTAGTTTTAATGTTTGACTATCAATATTTGATGTTCAAAACTTGAGTAAACGCAAAGGAAAAATATATTCTACAATTTTTTGGCAATAATTGATATCACCCAGTTTCCTAAATCAAGGCTTTTAGTGTATAGGTATGTTATACAACGATTAAATATTATGGTTTAAAATAATAAAAAATATTTAACTATAAACAACACATATGAACAAATTCAACACAACATTTATTAATCGCAATAAAATCCATCGTAGTTGGGTGGTGTCTTATTTAAGTCAAACTTAATCAGTACAAATTGACCGTTCATTTTATAATATTACTAATATCGATTTGGTCATAATACAAATTTACAATATGATAGACAAAGCAATTAGTTATAATTCATATTAATAATAATAATAATAATAATAATAATAAAAACATTATCATTGAAATTAATTTATACTATGAAACAATAGTATATTGCTTAGGTAAATTTTTTCTTAAGAATACTAAATTAGAGCTACAAGACATTTTATGTACAATTTAGATATTTTTTATTAAATGTAGACATAACTTAAATACAACATTTTAACAAGTAACAAATACTGCTAAAATCCTTTGATTTGCAAACAAAATGAATAAAAATAACTAATAAACAAATGGTTGCCTAAAAAAAAAAGGAACTTGTAACTCTATAATTGACATGTTTGGTAGTGGTAGTTCTAAACATTATGTAGAGGTAACTAACAAAAATGATTGAAAAAAGTTTGAAATGATACTAAAAATAAATTGCTGATAAAATGAAAAAAAAATTTATTTATGAATTATAGAGTAAAAAGACTTAAGTATGAAGTTTTTTTTAGAGAAAAATATAATACGTAATTGATGGCAGTGACCATTTCATCTAAAAGAATTGTTTGCTCAGTTGATTCAAACATACACATTTTTTTGTTTTTTTGGGTAATAGTCAAACATGCCTAACAATTTATATAAATTTAATGGAATACATAATTCGAGATCAATATTATGTATATTAAAATTAATAATGTGTGGATAATTAAAACAATTTAAGGTGCAGGCCAATAATTGAAAATTTGAGTTAAAAAAATAATTTAGACATTACTTTGAGAACAAATTATAGAAAGTGGATAATATACTATATTATAGTAATACAAATAGGAATGATTGATCTTCCGTCATTATTTACACAGATCTTATTTTAGTTTAACAACACAGGATTTTCAAAAATATAATGCTACATTTACAAACTATTTAATATTAAAAAGAATAAATGAATTAACTAAAACTTTGAGCATAAAACATTTGAAATATAACACATTATATTTTAACAGTTGCTTTGTTTTTATACACAAATATATTTTTGAGCAATATATAAAATTATTATTTAGGTAGGCAATAGTTTAAAAAAAGTTAAGAAAAACAAATAAAATATAACTTATCAAGAGAAACAAGAAAATTGTACTAAAATTGTTAAGTGTAATATAAATGGACTTAAAATATGTTTTGGCCCTTGTTTTTTGTCCAACAAATTACAATAAAATAAAATTATACGAATTTCTAATTGCAAATTTATCTAAGATTTGTTTAATAAAGTAATTGGTATTTTTTTTTATAAAAAAATGTCAGCCAGTGAGAATATCAACCTTTCACTGATCCACTAGTCAGGTTATGTATTTTTTTAGTACTGGTAATAATTGTTAACTGAAAATTAAAAAAGTATATAAATAAATATAAATGTATAAATAAGGTAAAATAAACATCTTAAGATTATTTTAATTAAACAAAGTAAATACAATTTTAAGTAAATATCAAACATCAATTTTTAAATTAGATTAAATTATGTAGAAAACCCACAATGTTCAAATAAGTTTTAAATTTAAATACATTGCAGGCAAGTTTGAATAACTATTTGTTATTACTTATTATTCGCTTTAAAGTTACAAGCACAATTGTATCTGTCTAAATCCACGTAAAAATACACTGGTAAAAAATTGAGTTATAAGAACAAGTTTTTCAAACATTTTTGCCTCATTTCACACAAAGCATGATCTGTTGGCCATAAGTTTTTTACGCCACAACATATATTTATGGAGTAAACACAACAAAATGTAAATTTTTACCAGTGTGGACTTGGTATAATAAACAACTTACAAAAATTATGTCCAGCAGATACTAATTTATGTTGTTAATTTAATATTTAAGTATACTGATCTATTATCAAATGTTAAGGTAAAAATATAATTAGTGTTCATACATTGGTTATTAAGGTTGTTTTAATTTTTAAATTAGTTCTAAAATTATTCTAAAATTATTTCTCAACATCTTAGGAATGAACTACGTGATGCATGAATAATAAATATTAAATGTTGAAATGATTACATCATAATAAATAACTATATAGCTAACCTAACGACGATGTATATAAATTTATCGGATTAAAATTTTTTAACTTCATTCTTATTAAAATCTATCCTGAATAGATCAATAAATAATAATAAAAATTAATAAAAATATTAGAGGCTGCAACACCCATATTTGTTGTCTCAGTCTTATAATTGCGTAACATAGCAAATTTGCGTTCAGCAATTCACGTTTATTCCGTTAGCTTGAAAAATTAGAATGAATAGACTAATTATGAAACTTGATGGTAAGAACATTATCTGTGATTTGTTGGAAGTTTTTTTTACAATAATTCAGTTTTTAAGTGTAAATTAGCTATCTTACGCGTTTGTAAGACTGGGACAACAAATACAGGTGTTACACCTTCTTAAAAACATTAGTTAAGATACTATATAAAACTGTTATTTGAAAAAAAAAAATTAGAGTATAAATTACTTACTCGACAATCAAAATGGAATTCCTCGTAAGGCAACATCTGCCAAAGTTTGTAAGTTGACATTGGAGTCAGACGAAGTGTGATCTATAAAAATATAAATTATAAAATCAATATGATACACTTAATTTGTGTTCAATTAATATAATGTATCTTGTATACTGACTTGTATTACTTTGACTTTCAGCAAATGTTCTTGATACACGCTTTTTATAGTGAACATGTGTTGAGGTACTACTGGTACTGGATTCTGGACTTGATAATCTACTGGAACTAGCTTCTGAAGATATTGGTGAAGGCAGTCTTTTGGGCGCCTCAGCAGCATCACATTTATTGTCATTTTCACTAAAAAAATTTAAAAATAAAATAAAAATATTGATTTTTAATCAATTAAAGCAAAAAAAAAAATACATACTTTGTTCTAAAACGTTTTTTAGGAACTACCATGATAGAAGTAGAATTTAGTTCTTTAGTTATATCATCAGAACTAAAAAAAAAAAAAAAAACAATATGTTTAACACATTACAAAATATGTACACGATCAATTGTGTAATTACTAATAAGGAACATACATTAATTTTCTTTTATTATCTTCAACTATTTCGTCAGTGTTTTCTTTTAGTTTGCGCAGTGCAGCTACTTTGGCACTATTTCTTGTTTCACGACGAGATTGAATTGGTAATGGACTTATTTCAGCAGCTTGATTATTTTCTTCTTTTATGTTACATTTCTTACCTTTACGACGTTTAGTAACAGTATCATCAGTGTTTACTAACTTTTTTGGTCCCCTAAAAAATGGATTTGATTAATTTTTTGAATCATTAATAAATTTTCAATAGATAATTACAATTTTTTATTTTGACGTTTTGATAATGTATCGTTCATGAATTGTTGGTAACGTACTCCTTTACAAGCCCTATTTATTCTTCCTCTAGGTTCATTTACTTCAATTTGTTCAATTATGTTAACCGGTAACTGTTCAATCACTGTAGGAGTTTCTATAACGTTTGAGTCATTTGAGTCTTCTTCATTACGTCTTAAAGTGAATTTTTTGTACCCAGACCGATAATATGGTTCAGTCTTTAGATCTTGAGCAGTTTGAACACAGAGATTCATATTTTCCTCAGAGTCTAAATTATTATTCTTGGTAACATCACCAAAAGTACGTTGTAGGAACTCAGATGCTTCAGTATTTGGTTTCTTAGAATCATCCTTGAAAGCATTACGGCATTGAAGAATAGTCTCTTTTAAACATTTGGTAGATACTCCTAAATGGTTGGTTGGAGGATGATTTTGGGTACATAAATTTCTTTCAGCTATATCAATTTGATCTGCTTCCTACAATATTAAAAATAAAATACAATTAAGATTTTCTAGATTCAAAACCATTAATTGGTATTATTTAGTATTAACCTATTAACCTAAGCCTCAACTACAAGAGTAGATGTATTAAAATCATAAATTTTTCATAAAACAATGCTATCGAATTCCATAGCAAATGTACAAAATTTGCAACTTTAATTTAAAATTTTAATAAATGAACCAAATCAAGTCACAGTCACTATATGGCAGGTTATAATTTTGTAAATATCGACAACACTATACACGCACCAACAGGTTTGTCGACATTTCGGCGGTTGTCGTGTTGACGCTCCGTGAGCGTCAACCGGCAGACACGACACAACGTCCAACCAGCCCATATACGTCTGTATATATATATCTGTCTGTGCGACCGCGTTTGACGATAAATCTATCGATAAATTGTTCCGTGTATGAGACGCTTAACACATTTTTAGGTCAACAAATCCATAGTAATTATGATAAAATTATAGAAAGTCAATAAATTAGAATATTAATTATGCAAATGTAAGGTTAGATAATAGTGACAACAAAAGACTTTTATTTAATAGTTTGTAATAATAACACCGAATTTAACATTTTAGTTAATTGTATTCCATAATAATACTGAAATAACTTAAACTGCTATTTACTAGAGTAATTATGGATTAATTAAATCTTTAAGGTACATAATTAGCCACAAGTGTAGGTATTAATAATAATAATTAAAAAAAAAAAACTGTAAGAACATTTCCAATGATGTTAAATAATGAATAAGGTTACCCTACCTAATAATTAAATTAACGCTTATTGTCATGATTATTTATGTATGGATTAACAAACATAGTAGAGTAGGTATAGAATAAAGATAATTTTATCGAAGAAAATATAAACCTTTTTATTGAAAGTATTATTTTTACATATTTGTAAGTTGTAAAGAATATAATTTTTATCATTCTTTTTAAGTATTACTTTTTAATATGACGATATACAATTTTATTTTTTCATCATTTCATAGTAAAATAATTTTTGGTGTAATTTAATGCACAAAAATCAAATTTTGATCAAGTAATTTATGTTTATAAATTATAAATATTTAGAGATTAGATAGATTAGATTGTTGGGGCCTTTCATTTTAAAATTGTTCATAGTTTTTAAAATGATGAATGTTTTTGGATAAACAAAATTTATTTGAAGATAAGAAACGATTTAAGATCAGATTTAAAAGAACTCAAATGAAGACAAACAAATTCTAACGAATTTAGCGTTTATAAATATTTTTATTTTATTCTCTATATTTAAAAACAGACTTTTAATAGAACGAAAAATAACTAGATAAAATATTTATTGATATTTGATTAATAAAATCACATTTTAATTTATAACTAGGTACATTGAATGAATATTCAATTATTAACCAATAATTATTTATAGAAAATAATATCTATAAGGTACCTATCATCAATTTTTTTAACTGAAAGTTATTTATATAAAAACTTATAATTAACAAGTAAGATTAAATATTTAAAATTATATACCTAAGAAGTAACAACAATCCTTATTATGATTAGCTAATGTAATAATAATTAAAGCATATTAAACTTACCATTTCAGCTTTTTCTAAAAATCTCTTTTTTGGGTAATAATATTTTATTTCACTAACTGTATCTTCTGCTTCGTATTGCATATCTGACCATGTAGTTGTATCCTTAAGATATGTTCCTTGACACTAAAATGTAAAAAACAAACAATAAGATAAAATAAAACAACTAAACAAATTACATTTAACAATGTTAAAACTAACATGTTTGCAATAACCAGCAAGTTTTTAAATAAATAAATACATATATAATAAATTGATTAAATGTATAATTGCGATGTAGCAAATGTAACAATGGTTGGTTTATAAAAGACAGAGTTTTATTATAGTCCAGAAAGAATGTATTGAATATTTTTTTTTAATAAATTAAGATTTGGTCTATTTTGCACAAAGAATAATTAAAAAACAATTTATTGTGATAGTTTGCTTATCAGTTATTTAGGTGTACTAAATAAATTATAACCATACTTAAAAGAAAAAAATCACATCATAATTACAAATTTACTGCAGAATATAAAACTAAAACTTGATTTTATAGGCCTCCATAGTTTCTCAGATTATGGTAACAAGTATTAATGAGAAGAAAATATTAAATGATCTACTATTTATTAAATTTCCTTACTGTTAATTTGAGATGAATATTTTGCGATGTACTATCAGACCAACTACTTGAGGGCATACTAATATTGTTGTCACACGGTTCATTCCCCATTATTGAATTTCTACGTTGTACATACATCATCAGAGCTTTAATGGGTCTACAAGATTGAAAAGCACCGTTGTGACTATTTTGATAAGAGTCTTCAAGACCAACATTAACACTCATGGTAATTAACAGATAATATAAAATATTATTTAGCTAATAGATCAATTTGAAAGCTATATTAATGCTTTATCATAATCCAATCTGAAACATTAACACAAAAGGATAAGTTTCAAAAATAGTAACTGAAGTCACTATTTTTTTAACACATAATTCTGTACAAACTTCAAAAACAAACAAGACTGTTTCAATAATTTACGAATATCTAAAACTAGATCAATTATAACCTACTTCCACCTGAGAATCAACACATATTGAACATATAGAAATAGGATTTCACACAAATGCTTATCTATACTTAACACACATATTTTTTAGAATATTAAACGTAAGTATAACAATATTTTTCAAGACGAGTACACAGGTATTGCCTAATACAATACAATAGTAATAGTAATCTTTGAAATTGCCAACAAATTTATTAGCTTTGTTAAATATTAACAAAATTAACTCTACATACTTACTAAAAGTTGTCAATACAATTAAAATTATACATTAAATTGCTAATTTAAGTTTAAGTTTCAATATATGATAATAAAGTATAAATTTGTTGAAAATGCAGTATTTAACATCTTTGCGTAGTGGTACTGTTAATCTTACCTAATTGTCAAATCTATCAGCAAAAATATCTTGAACAAACATATTTAAGTTATGTGTGATTTGTAGATGACAAAAATCTGATGATCGAAATTTCCTTGTTCATCATAGATTACATCCATCATTAGGTAAATGTAAAAGTTTCGTTTCTACGAGTAAATGTGTAAGTTTTAATAAAAAATGTTATAAAAAAGAGGATATCATAAAGTAAATAATTAAAAAGAGATGAAACATAAATAATTGAAAGTTGAGATAAACTGAAAACGTCAAATTCCCACCACCACCATGAACGTCGACCCAATACATGAAATTTTAATCACAAAAATAAAAGCTTCTGTCTCCTGGAAATTAAAAAATAGATTTAATTGAGCATCATATATATATATACAATTTTTCGTTTGGAAATCCATGAAAACAAAAAAAAATTCTCAGACTTGACATTTTCAGTTGTAATTTGTGGCTTCATTATGATATTGTTGAAATATTTTGTTAATTGTATTTCAAGTTCAAGAGTTAATGACACATCAGCAAATTTCACATTTACACTAATACGTTTGCGAAAAGCCTATGTTTACTTAGTCAAGTACAGAAACCAATATATATACATATATTATTTTTTTCGTCATCATATCCAATCCATATTTTCCGTTCGGTTCTGAAAACAAGGATACATAGGCGATAAAGGTAAAAGGTTCGACGTAAACGTGTAAAAAAAGAAAAAATCATGACACAAGTGTCGGTTTGTATTATTTTAAAAACAATGTGTATAAAAACTTGTTAAATTTGAATGATAGTTAGGTAGGTACCTGGCGATAATTCACGAGTTGCAATACCATGCGCCGAAATTTTACTAATAGTAGAGGAGAGAGGTGTTTACCTTCGGGCAACAATAACTTTCTCATTATTATAATTAGTTTCGTTTTCGTACATATCATTTATAAGTAAAACTATTTGTATTATACGAGTGTACCTACCCGGGTTCCAAAAAATATGTAGGTAATAATTGTAAAGGCCCATCAGTGCCAAAAAACGGCCGAGTAAACTGCACCCGACAACAAGTTGTTTCGAAAACGAGCAGCAGCGAAAGCAAGAAGCGTCCAAACCAAACGCGAACGGTTGGGCGACCAATAAAAATGCTCAGAACTGGTGCCTCTTATCCTCTTACGGCGCCTATGATTATTGTCGAAAACTACAAACAATGCATTCGAGTAGGCATTTTAAAGTTAAATACCTTAGTACCTATCTACCTAGGTACCATAATATAACGCCGCATTGGGACGGAATGGGTAGGTACACTACTGCGTGTAATACGATATATATAGTACACAATATTATATTAACAAACGATAATATTTTAAACGACTGATCGCGGCGGTATTATTATTAGCGCGCACCGCACCGGGGCAGAGCGTGCGTCCGTGAGAATGTCAACCTTGAACGCTCGGGTTTGTCTCTATAAACTTGAAACTTGCGCGGTCGAGAAATCCGCCGAACGAATCGCAGGCACACACTACAGCAGCTCGAATGACTGTCGTACTCCCGACGACATGATATACTACAATTAATACAATATAGATATTAGGCACAGGAGCGATACACACGCCGACGACGGGACGATACCGCTGCCGGGTAAGCACGCGCCGACACATACACACACACATACATGTATATATGTATATATATATGTGTATGTGTGTGTATTAAGTATATTGTAATAACGGTCTTCCGGGAAGCGGAAAACGAGAAACGATTTGTATAATATTTATATACATGTATATATGTAAATCAAAATAATAATAATTAATAATCCTTTTTTATATTACAGGCACAGGACACGCCGCGGCGTATTGTCAGCCCGAACCTATAGGAATTCGCTTACCGTTCCGGTCGTTTATATTTTGAAAGTATGCGCGTTTGAAGTATACAATATTGTAAAGCGATAGGTGATCAATGTGTAGGTGGCGCCGGGCAGCTGCAGTCGTCGAACGCGGGAACAGTCCTGATTCCTGGAAAACCGTCGTTGGAGAGTAGGAAAAAAAACGAAAATCGGTTTAACGGCGACCACAGCGGCGGAGACGGGACGTCGTCGTCGCACGAAAACTGGCGGCGAACAGAAGTGGAACGGTGGCACGGAGACGGAGTGCACCGCGGACGTAGCGTAGTTGGCGCGCGCGCGCGCGCACGCATAAACACACACACACACAAATGCGCGCGCGCAAACCACCAACCGCACACGCTTACCGTACTCGGTGCGCAAGCGCAACCGCGATCTCTCAACTGTCGCGCGCACACACACGTACACACGGATACACACACACACACACCCTCAAACACACTCGCGCGCTGCGCGCCAGTGAGACGATTACGTTTTACACGAAAATTGTTTGATAAATGTCAAGTACAAGATTACAAGTCGTACGGCCCTGAACTAGGCATATAAATATACGTGTAAAATGTGTATACACGATTACACACGTATGTGAGTGTGTGTGTGGAACGTAGGTAATTAACGCGCGACATATTGTAATAATAATAATAACTATTATTATTATTATCTGTAAACTATATGGGAACGACGCGGGTCTGTTGGCTACCGGGTGTTACGTGAGACTCTTACCGGCTGCMGCACCGCATCTAACCAGTAGTACGTAAATGCACTAATGCGTGTCAAAAAATCGAAAAGACAATTTTATCGACGGACTGTGCGTGACGAAAGAAATATAGGCCATCGGGTACGAGATAAAATATATAATATAGGTAAATCACTCCGTCTGTACGCCGCAAGATTGGAATATCTATCTATCTATATAATATTATATCCGTTTATATTTTGAGAAAACATTTGCGAATCTCGACGGGCGGCGGCGGCGGTCGTGTTAACGACGTGGTGGGGAGTGGGTGGAGGGGGAGAAAAAGTGGAACATATTGCACCATTACTTATATCATAACCGCGATCCTGACCCACTTACCACTGGGCGCATGCCGACGTCCTTAGAGCTTCGATTGTTCGTGTACCGCCGACGGTTTTTATACGCTGTCCGGACGAGACGACAGCCTGCTATTTGGGAAATTCTTGATTGATGGAGTGCGCGCAACAGACACTATGCGAGTTATTCCGGTCGGAAAGAACGGTTACGTTTTCAAAAGCGCGCAAAGGTTTCGAAAACCACCCTCGGTTTACCATATAGAAAACAACAATAACAATAATAATAATAACAGTGTTATCTATATAGGTAGCATACGATGATAAAGTCGCGGGCAACGGAGAATTTGAAAATCGTCGACGACGATCTAAAAAAAAAACGCTAACTCACGTCGTATGTTAGTACGTCCTACGATTGTTCATGAATTAAAAGATAATATTATTACACTAAAATATAATCGACGAAGATATAGCACGATCGTAGACCGATAAAAAACGCGATGAACCTTCGGAAAATTATTTCCAGTATAACATTACTATGCCCAGGTAATAGTGATAATCCCCAATTTAATAAACGATAGAAATGAATATAATACTATATGATTAAAACAATAATACCGTCGGCGAGGGTCGACAGCCGCAGCAGACAAACACAGCTGACGCGGACGCGGAATCGTCGTCGGCACCACTATTATAATATTTAAGAACGGATAACGGCGGTGTGGCGAAACCGATACGCAACGGAGAAGGTAACGGCGGCGACGTCGACGGTCGGTGTGTGCCGGACTGCCGGGCCGGCCGTGTTGCTACTCGCTACACTGACGCGTGTGACTCGCCGCGCGAGCATGTGGGGGGATAAGTGGATTGTG